ACTGCCAAAGGCAGCCATTTTCTCCAGGTGAACTAGGGCTGCCAAATCCCCCCGGGGGGCGGATTCCCCCCCCCCGCTTTGGAGGCCCGATTTCCGATTTCCGCCCCCGTGGAATCGGGCCCCGGGGGAAACCCCACCCCCGCGTCCACGTCACCCGGATGTGACCTGATGACGCCGGGCACGCTGGGGGTGGGGCCACAGCCATTTGAGGGGAAAACAGAGAAAATGGCACGCGCCCGGGATGCCAACCGGGAGCCCCCTGCTGCCGGAAAAAAAAGGTTTGGCAACCCTAAGGTGAACTGATGTCTGTGGCCTGGAGATCAGTCGTGATATTGGGAGATCTCCAGCCACCACTAGGTCCCAACCAATGTTCCCTCTAAGCTGTGGAGTCTTGTGAGCAAAAATTCTACTTTGTGAGCTACTGGCATTAAAGCTGTGTGCGAGCAATTTGGCTATTGCATAGATTAGTTTGCTCTGGAGCCATCCTTCCTGAGCGGAGACAAAAATGTGTGAGCTGGAGGCTCAAAAACAGTGAGCTAGCTCACACTAACTCAGCTTAGAGGGAACCCTGGTCCCAACCCCCAGATTTCGAGGAATTTCCCAACCAGAAGTTGGCAACCCTGAGTCTTCCTGATTGGTGAGGTCTCCCACCTGTGGTAATCAAAGATGTGGGGGAGGGCTTTTGGTGCCACGTAGTGAAGGGGCTGTGGCTCAATGGTAGAGCATCTGTTTGGCATGCAGAAGGTCCCAGGTTCAATCCCTGGCATCTCCATTATTTGAAATAAAAGATGGATCAGTAGGTGATGTGGAAGACCTCTGCCTGAGACCCTCTGTCAGTCTAAGGAGACAACAGTGACCTTGGTTGAGGGCTCTGGTTGAGGGCAGCAGCAGTCTCCAGTTAGCCTCTTCCTTCCCTCCCCCTGCAAAGGGTAAGGACAAAAACTGAGGTATGTTTTATGCGCCATCTGTGAACTTTTATTGTATTGTTTAAGGTGTTTTAATTGTTTTAACTTGATTGTGTATGTTGTATATTTAGAAGTGTTGTTCCCCACTCTGAGCTCTGTGTATAGGGGAGGGAGGGCTATAAATCAAATAAAACGAATAAACAAACAAACAAACAAACAAATAGATGGACCAATGGTCTAATTCAGCATAAGGCACGTTTGTGTATTCATGTGAGTAGTTTCCTCCCCAAGTATTCTGTTGGGTGGCTTCATTAGTGGCACGCCAGGTGTTGTACCTGGATTTTTGCATTTAAGTTTGGTCTGTTAGGCTTTGTTGGTTTTGGTTGGTTGGGGGAGGGCTGGATGTTCAGATGTCTGTAATTTTATTCCTCGTGCTTAGTTTTTTCCTGATATATCTTTTTTGGGGAAAGGATAAAAATAATTACAATAAGGCATACTATATGAAGGAAGAGAGGATTATGAAACTGCAAATGGTGAGAACAAAGGAGCTTCTTCTCCGGTCTCTTTCACTAGAGAACTTGGTGGCAGCAAACCAGGAAAGTTAATTCGTGGTGGCAGGACTGGCCTAGTTTTTGTTTCATACTAGGAAAATTAAAACCTGGCTGCCCAACAGCTTGTATGCTGAGCAACATAACAACAGCACGATCATTAAGATAAGCGTCCTCATAGGGTTGCCAGCTCCAGGCTGGGAAATTCCAGGAGATTTGGGGGGTGGGGCTTGAGGATGGCCTGGTTTGGTGAGAGGAAGGAGCTCTGCAAGGTATAATGCTATAGAGGTCATCCTTCGTTCTCTCAGGGGGGGAACTGGTCTCTACAGTCTGGAATTCCATTGTCATTACAGATCTCCAGGCCCCACCTGGAGGTTGGCAGCCCTATGACGAAATGTGTTTTATCCACTGGAGATCAGAAAGCTCTGGATCGTGCCCCTCGATATTGCCATTTGGGTTTTCTGCGGCCTCTGGCACCAAAATATCTCCTTCCATCTCAGGGGAATTTGTGGGTGGAGGAGAACTTCATAATAAGTATCCTTAACTTATGGAACTCATTGCTACCCAGGCCCCACCTGGAGGTTGGCAGGCTTTGATGAAATGTGTTTTATCCACTGGAGATCAGAAAGCTCTGGATCGTGCCCCTCGATATTGCCATTTGGGTTTTCTGCCTCTGGCACCAAAATATCTCCTTCCACCTCAGGGGAATTTGTGGGTGGAGGAGAACTTCATAATAAGTATCCTTAACTTATGGAACTCATTGCTACAAGCAGGGGTTGTGTAACTACTCCTGATTTGGAAAAAGAATAGACAGATCCATACTCGTGTCTGTTAACTGCTAAGGAGCCTCTATGTCCAGAAGCAGTCTACCTCTGACCACTAGATAGTGGCAAATGGAACAAAAGAGGAAGGCCAACACCTTCCTGGCGTCGTGCTCCAGGGGTGCCAGGATGTTTGCTGTTGAAAACAGTGGCCGATCCAGTAAAATCCGTAGGGGTTTTCATCAGCTATGAAAGCTAGATCCTTCATGTACAGAGGCAGTCTACCTCGAATACCAAATTCCGGGAACAATCGAGGGAGGGTTCTCATCTCTAACTCCTACTTCCGAGTTTCCTGGTGAAGAAAACGGATCAGATGGATTTGTAGTCCGGTCAAGAAAGGCACTGTTTCCCCCCCTCCCCCCGCTTTTTTTTTTTTTTTTTTTTATGCTCGGTACAAATTCAGCACCCAGCAGGGTGAGGCGAGGTAATACGGCCTGTTCCACCTTAAGCCGGGCGCCGAACGGAGCCGGGGGGCGGAGAGGGGCGGAGAAAGCTGCCCTACATGAACTGCCGGCCGGCGAGCTCTGCTCAAATCGGCTCGAACCGGATTACAAGTGAATCGAAGCGAGCGGAGCGCCGTGCCGGATCGTACTAGGTACTGACTGAAGACAACGCGGCGCTGTGGATACACGTGGGGACCCCCCCCCTTTCTGTTTCACACGCGCCGTTTGCATTCTGAGTAAACTGCCCCTCTACTCGATTCGCACCGAAGAGCGTTAAGGAAAGAGGGTAAGAGGGTAAAAAAAAGGGGTTCCAGACTTCGATGTGGGTGGAATGTGATCCCTGGGGTAGGGTCGCGTATTACCTAGAGAAAACTGTCTCCTTCCCCTGTTCTGCCTGGTTTCCAGGCTGAACGCGGGTTTTGCGTAACGTGTGAGTTGAGGACGCGGGGATTAATTCTCGCGAAGCGGTGTAGGTACTGGTAGTGTGGGGTTGGTCCCCAGTCAGGGTAGTTTTGCATGCAGGAAGCAGTTTTGCTCTTGATTTGGAAAGAGGGGGGTGTTAAAATGACTGGCTGTGCCCCTGTGAACTAGAATGTTTGACTTTTTTTTTAAAAAATGAGAGACTCTACTTGTAGGGTTGCCAGCCTCCAGGTGGAGCCTGGAGATCCCCCGAAATTACAGCTGATCTCCAGACTACAGAGATCAATTCTGGTGAAGAAAATGGCTGCCTTGGAGGGTGGAGTCTGTGGCATTATACCCCACTGAGGTCTGGGGCTTAAACCGTGTCCCTTTGGCTTTGGATTGTTGAGCCTGCTTGTGGTTACTGAGTGGCCAGGGAAAAAAGGTTTCAGGGCACTCTTAGCAATCGTTCCTGGCATTAATCTCAAGGTATTCTGTTAAAGTAAGGCCTGGCAGGGGGCACAGAGGAAAGGCATATCTGTCTTCAGTGCCAACTGGATACATAGACTGTCCCCATCTGCCTCTTTCTGTCTCAGACTCTGGGCAACGTCCTGTACCGTTTTTTCTCCCAGGCGGCATCATGAGTTCCCGTGGCGTAACTCAGGACACCGAACTGGACCTGAAGGACGTGGAGCTGAGCGACCTGGACACCGAGAAGCAACCCATGAACGCCTCCCCGCCGCTGGCCGGCTCCCCCGGCAGCCTGGGCGAGAAGAACGGGGTGGTGAAGGTGAAGGTGGCCGAGGAGGAGGAGGAGGGCGAGCTGGCGGCCAAGTTCACCGGGCTGTCCAAGGAGGAGCTGCTGCAGGTGGCCGGCACCCCCGCCTGGGTGCGCACCCGCTGGCTGCTCCTGATCCTCTTCTGGCTGGGCTGGCTGGGCATGCTGGCGGGGGCCATCGTCATCATCGTCCAGGCCCCGCGCTGCAAGGACCTGCCCCAGCAGAGGTGGTGGCAGAAGGGGGGCATCTACCGCATCCAGCCCACCGAGAGGTTCCAAGACTCCAACGAGGACGGCGAGGGGGACCTGGCAGGTGAGCCCCCTCCCCGGGCGGGGGGCAGATGGAGGGCTGGGTGAGCCAGTGACCCAGCCCAGGGGTCTCCGCTCCCGGGGCTGGCACTCAATCCCAGATTTTCTCTCTCTGGGTTAACCACTAGGCTCTACGGCCCTTCCCCGAAGTGGCAAATGGGATTCCTGACTTCTTCCTAACCGGAACTTTTTCCATTCCCCGGAGTGGTAAAAAATTCCAGTGGATATAATGCCATACACCCTTTCTCTTTTGGGTTCATTAACGCAGAGTCTCTGCTCCCTTCTGTCTTTTGCCCCTCCCCCCCAAATTGTAACTCGAGAATCTCCCTGGCCGGTGTTGCCGCTCGCCTTGAACTGGGTGTGTGTGTGTGTGTGTGTGTGTGTGTGTGTGTGTCTCACCTTGGTTTGTGAGAAGCGGCTGATCTGCTCTGAGCAAAACTTGAGTTGCTGCCTTAGAGATGGGACTGCTTGCCTCCTCAGATTCCCTCCCCCTCCCATTTTTAAAATAGGCCCCAGGCGATCTGGAAAGGAAAGGGTTTATGGGTACAGCACGGCCTGTGAGCCAGCTCAGGGGCAGCCCCTTCCCTGTCCCTTGGCTCTTTTTCTCCTGTGCTCAGCAGTGCTTTGGGTCCATGTGATCAGCAGCTGCCTGCCTCCTCTGTCGCTCCCCCCTCCCCAACTGGTGCAAAGGGACTGCTGCCAGACACACTTTCCCCACACCGGGTAACCAGCCGGTTCCAGCCAGCTCTCTCTTCCTTCTCAGTGCAAGGGCCGGCCTTTGTTTCATCAGTCCTTGACGTCAGCTGAAAGCTGACTCAGCTCCGAGGATGCTGGGTAAACGCTTCCGCTGTTCCTTCCTCTCTTGCACTTTGATCTGCCTGTCCTACCCCTCCCTTTTTCCCTCCTTCCTCCCCCATTCCCCACGTGGTGAGGGGGCCGGATTTGTGTGGGTTGCTGCTTTTCACATCCTCTCGCATTAAAAGTGTGCCCTGACCAAGGGTTTTTTTCGACAGCTACATTTAGGCTGAGACACTTGGGAGGATTTCTAATCACAGGGCATGACGTCCAGTGGACTTCCTGGTATTGTAAAGGCCGTAACCGTGCCTTCTCTGGGCTGTTAAGGGCCTGGCCTCCTGGAAGTGAAAAACAGGAAGGTTCGGTCGTTCCCCCAAACCTGGGTCAGGGAAGGGGACTCTAAAACAAGAAGTGGGACTAAAATAAATGGTGCATTATTGTCCTGGCCAACCTGGAACTGGCAGCCCTATTCTGTCCACCGCCTGTTGGCGGCCAGGAGTAGGGTTGCCAGGTCCGGCTCAGGAAATATCTGAGGACTTTGGGGGTGGAGCCAGGATGCGACATCACTTTTATGATCTCACCAGGGTTGCCAGGTGAGGCCAACAAGCCGGAAGGGAATTCTGGCCATCGCATTGAAGCATTCCTTTTAAAAGCATTCCTTTAAAATGCTTTCCCTCCATTGGAGGCACCTTCTTTGGGGGCTCATAGAATTGGACCTCCTGGTCCAATCTTTTTGAAACTTGAGGTTTTTCCCCCCAGGAGAGGCACCGAATTTGGTACCTTTACCTCACAAAACAGCCCCCAGCCCCAGATACCCATGAATCGAGTCTCCATTATACCCTATGAGGACCGGTCTCCATAGAGTATAATGGAGTGCCCAGCAGCCATCCTTCCATATTCTGACAGCCCTGCAGTGGGGGGAGGGGCTCCAAACTAGGGTATCCCTTGCCCCCAACTGGGGATTGGCAACCCTAGCCAGGAGGTACCTGGCAACTCTAGAACTGGCTCCATTAAGAACCAAAGGGAAGCTCCCTTTGTCCTTTTTCATTTTGTATCCCCTTAAATGGTAAAATAAAAATATTTTTTTAAAAAAAGAACGTAAGAGAAGCCATGTTGGATCAGGCCAATGGCCCATCCAGTCCAGCCAGCAGTCTGTGTCACACAGTGTCCAAAAATACCAGGTGCCATCAGGAGGTCCACCAGCAGGCCCCAGAACTCCAGAAGCCCTCCCACTCTTGCCCCCCAAGCACCAAGAATACAGACCTTTGCATCCTACAAGAGAGAAATGCCTCTCTTAAGATGGCTTGTGCTATAATAATATATGGGCCGCATTATGTATTAAAGTGCCACCTGGATGGGCCTGGTGGAACGAGCTCCCGGAGGAGATCAGGGCCCTGCGGGACCTCATGCAGTTCCGCAGGGCCTGTAAGATGGAGCTCTTCCGCCAGGCTTTCGAGTAGGGGCTGCCACCGCCATTGTACCACCACTGTATTAACATCATGAGGCGCACTGGCCCTGGTATGGGGATGACAGTTATAGTGTAACATCAATTGAGCAGAGACAATCGTGTTTACTCGGAGTGTGTTATTGTTACTGGCATTTTATTATGGAATTGATATGGTCTGTTGAGCAGCGACTTTTTATAGGTAATGATTGTTTATTGTTTTATTGTTTTATGTATGACATTTGCCTCTATGTTCGCCGCCCTGAGCCCATGTTGGAAGGGCGGGATACAAATTTAATTAATAATTAAATAAATTATAGCCTGTCTTCCAACTGAGTTGGAACCGTGTCTCTAAACAGAGGCATTCCTCATAGACGGAATGCTTCTTTTTAGAGAATACCCGCATGTAGACATAATACTGGAGGGCGCATTCCCTCCTCTGTGTGTGTGAGAGAGAAAGAATGCGCCTTCTTGGATGATGCTTTCAGTTACATGCGCAGGCATGATCGTAGAAGAGGCATTCCGTCCCATATTGAAGAGAAGGGGATGTTTCTGGTGTCAGAGAGCAGGGGGCATAGCCCCTGCAATGACATCTAAGCACTCTTAAAACCAAAGTAGCCTTTCAAAAAAATATATTGATTTTATTCATATTCAAATGAAGAAGAGGAAGAGATTGGATTTATACCCCGCCCTTCACTCGGAGTCTCAGAGCGGCTTACAAACTCCTTTCCCTTCCCCTCCCCACAACAGGCACCCTATGAGGTGGGTGGGGCTGAGAGAACTCAGACAGAAACTTATTGAAGAGAAGGGGATGTTTCTGGTGTGAGAGAGCAGGGGGCATAGCACGTGCAATGACATCTAAGCACTCTTAAAGCCAAAGTAGCCTTTCAACAAATATATTGATTTTATTCATATTCATATTCAAATGCATGTGGATTTCCCTGAAAAGGCTTTTGTTGGGTGAAAACTATGGTTGCCAACTCTGGGGTGGATCATGGATAGGAAGGGGGGGAGGGGTGTCAGGGGGATATAATGCCATGGAGTCCACCCTGCAAAGCAGCCATTTTCTCCGGGGGACCTGATTTCTGTCGCCTGGAAATCAACGCTAATTCCAGGGGATCTCCAGGCCCCTCCTGAAGGTTGACAACCCTCATGGCAACCCAGCTGAATAATAATTGATAAGCAAGGATGCTGGGAGAGCGGGGAAGGAAGGCCCAGTAGTGGGAAAGCTTGGTGTACTGCAAGAAGCTGTGCTCTCCTCCTGTGCAAACAGAATTGGCCTGATTTTGAAAAGAGGAAGAGTCCAGTAGCACCTTCAAGACTAACAAAATTTGTGGCAGGATAGAAGCTTTTGTGAGTCACTGGTATCTAAAGAAGTGAGCAGTGACTCATGAAAGCTTATACCCTGCCACAAATTTAGTTAATCTTTTTTTTAATTTAAAATAACAGTTAAAAATAAGAAAGCAAATCCTGATGTTTATGTAGAGCAAACAGGGAAGTGTCGATTTTATGTGCTGCTGACACTTCTAAGAGGAGCATCCATTTCTCTTGGAGATTGTCAGGAATTAGTTAATCTTTAAGGTGCTACTGTACTCTTTTCTGCTGCTTTAGACTGACTAACGGCTACCCATCTTGATATCTCTTCAAAGAGGAAGACACAGAACCATTCATCTTCTCATTCAAGCAGCACTTCTAATTTACAGTCTCTGTCCTGTTCACTTGCCCAGTACGTCTTGCAAACTAAGCTGCTACGCATTCCACGGTTAGAGATAGGGATGAGGCTATGCAGTCAGTTACTGACAGTGGATTTGGGTTTTGATCCTGGATCCTAGGCCTCCATCGTAGCCTCTAGAACTGACAGAAGGGCCTAACTGTATGAGCAGCCTGACATGACCCCCTTTTTTAATTTTCTCCCTCTCACTTGCCCCTGCAGGCCTGAAGCAGCGGATGGATTATTTAAACTCTCTCAAGGTGAAAGGGGTGGTGATCGGGCCTCTTCACGTCAACTCCAAAGATGATCTGGCCGGGACGAACCTCCAAGCCATCGACCAGAAATTCGGCACAGCGGCGGAGTTCCAGGAGGTGCTTCAGGCTGCGAAGAAAAAGGGTAAGGATCCATGGCGGGGGCGGGGGGAGTCTCCTCTTTGCAATGGGCTGCTGAGGAGATTCGGCAGCGCTCCCTGGAGGCAACGTTCTGACGTGGGCTGTGCTTCGCCTCTTTTCCAGGCCTCAAAGTCATCTTGGACCTGACACCCAACTACAAAAGTCCATCCCCTTGGTTCAGTCCTGAGATCCTTACCAGCAGTGACTTCCAGGACAAAATGAAGGTGAGTCGGGGGGGGGGGGAGGCTTTGCAAAAGAGGGGAAACAATTTAGAATGGATGTCAGCAAGATCTCCTCTCTCTTCAGTGGCTACCCAAGTCCACCCCCACTATTGTGTCAGCACCTGATTCAATTTCTGTGCCTCAGATGGCTGCTAAAACTATAAGCACAGGGGGGAATAAATCCATCTATGCCAAAAGCGGCAAACTCAGTGTGTAACTTAAAGAGTGTGTGGTGTAGTGGTTAGACTGTTGGCGTGTTGTACTAGGATCTGGGAGACCCAGGTTTAAATCTCCACTTTGCCATGAGAGGCCCTGGAGTAACCCTGCAGCTAGTCCCCCCCCCTTCTCTGTCCACCTAACCTACCTTTCTTCATATCTATTTACTTTATCTATATCCCACTGTTCTCCCTAGTGGGGACCCAAAGTGGCTTCCGTTGTTCTCCTCTCTTTTGTTTTATCCTCACAACATCCCTGCGAGGCAGGTTTGGCTAAAAGCGTGTGACTGGCCCAAGGTCACCCAGCCTTGCAAGATTCTTGTTATGAGAGTAAAATGGAGGAACTTTGGGTCCCTGTAGGGGAGGAAAGCAAGGTATAAACATCTAAATGGACGAAGGCAGTTGAAAGTGATTGTCTCCCAACGAGAAATAGCAGCTCCATAATCTATTAAATAGAAATCTGTTTCTTAAATATGGAAAATAAAATTAAAATGCTGTTTCTATCTATCTATCTATCTATCTATCTATCTATCTATCTATCTATCTATCTATCTATCTATCTATCTATCTAATCTGCCATCACTCTTCCAACAAATGCGCAGATGGTGCATAAATGTGGTCTTTGATCGCACCCCTGACTCTGTCCTCACAACAACTCAGTGGGCTACGTGAGGCTGGCTGAGATTGTCTTGCCAGAGGCCATGCGATGCGATTCACAGGCTACATGAGATTGGAATCAGGAATCCTCTGGTTCTGAGCTGGCGCTATTCCCTGTAATGCACCAGCATTCATTATTTCTAACAGGGCCAGTTCCAGGTTTTGGTGGGCCCTGGGCCCAAGGGGCCACTGCCTCCCACCACCAGGGCCCCCTTTCACCCCCACATCTGCATGCTCCCCCCTGCCTGTTTATCCTTCTCCCACTTGCTCATGCTTCCACCTCCCACGCTCCGTTGCCTGCACCACCCATACACCCTTTGCCGGGCAGCACCGGCCAGTGTATGCAGCTGGGGATGCTGCTGCCATTACCACCAGAGGTGCCACCTCTGCACACCACCCACATTCCCCTTCCCCAGCCCTGGCAGCTGCCCACCCTGAGGGTATGCTGACGCTGGCCTTGATTTCTGACAGTTTCTAAAAATAATTTGCCAAAGGATCACGTTGCAGCTGATAGGGAACGGTCCCCGCTGTATGCCTGGAATCAGGAACCCTGGTGGCACTTTGTGGACTAACGTCTTGCACGGTCCTGTTTTTATCCTCTTTACTTCTAGGCGGCGATAGACTTCTGGCTGAAGGAAGGTGTGTCCGGGATCCAGATCAGAAGCGTCGAGCATGTACTCAATGTACGTGGGTGAGCCCGCTTCAGGCACAGGCCGGCTTCTGGGTCTCTTTTCCCTTGAGGGTCCTTCATGGGCTTGGGGGTGGCCGTGGTGAAGCCCGTAAACACCCAGAAGCAAACTTATTTTGTTGCACATGTTGGTGGTTGTCCTTTTGGTGGGGTGGGGGTGGGGGGTGGATATTGGAGGTGGTGGTGACATGGGGTCCATGAGTTTTCCTGAGCTCTGGATCCCTCCTATGTCTTCCACAGGAGACCCAACTCTTGACTGAGTGGAAGAATCTGACTGAGAAATACACCGTTGATGACCATTCCAGGTAGTCTACCCATCCCGTGACATTCCACCTCCTGGGCAGTTTCAGAGGGTGGCTGTTTTGGTCTGCAGGGGAAGAGTTAGATTTGGGCCCAGTCGCTCCTTTGAGACCAACAAGAGGTTCAGGACAGAAGCTGTCGAGACTCAGAGCTCCCTTGGTCAGATTCCTGACCTGATGAAGAAACCCTTGGCTTCTGAAAGCTTACGCCCTGAAGATCTTGTTGGTCTCTAACGGGCTACAGGACTCGAACGTACCTCCGGGGCAGACTTTTTGGGAACATTCAAAGGTCGCAAAGACCTTGTGGGCGCTGCCAGGATTTTGTATCAAGCACTCACCAGGGGTTCCATATCTCCCAAGTCATGAGGGCCACATTCTGGGCATGGCGTGTGTGGAGAAGGGGCTTCGTCTCCACCCTCATCCCCCGTCCTTTATACGAATCGAAACAAGCTTGAGAAACTGCTCTATGCTCCACAAACACCAGCACCCCCGGGCCGTTTTACTTCGTGGAGATGGTAAGGGGTGGCCCCACATAGGTGACAAGAGCTTTCTGCACATGTGTGACGCAAAGACCTCATGGAAGCTGAGAAGTCTCTATCACGTGAATCAGCCCTCCTGTCTGTTGTGCTTGTAAGCGGAAGGTATAAAATTGCCTTTGAGGGATTACTGTTCCTTCGAGCTCAGGGGCAGTGGCTCTCTGGGGTCTTGGGTGTTTTTCCCAGCTGTACAGTGGGGAGGGGCTGTAGTTCAGTGGTAGAGCACTTGCTTGGCATGTGGAAGGTCCCAGGTTCAATCCCCGGCACCTCCAGGTAAAAAAAGAAGAGTTGGATTTATACCCCATGGGTTTGATTCCCCACTGCTTCACATGCCACCAGCTGGGTGACCTTGGGTCAGTCACAAGTTCTCTCAGGGCTGTTCTCTCGCGAGTAGTTCTCTCAGAGCTCTCTCAGCCCCACCTACCTCACAGGATGTCTGTTCTGGGGAGTGGAAGGGAAGGAAATTGTAAGCCACTCTGAGACTCCGAGTGAAGGGCTCCGTCCAACCTCCTCCTCCTCCTCTTGGAGTCTCAGAGTAGCTTACAATCTCCTTCCCCTCCCCACAGCAGACACCCTGTGAAGTAGGTGGGGCTCTTGAGAACTGCTCTGGAGAAAACTGCTCTTGAGAGAGCTGTGACTGACCCAAGGTCACCCAGCTGGCCTGCATGTGGAGGAGGAGTGGAGGATCAAACCCGGTTCTCTAGATTAGAGTCTGCCACTCTTAACCACCACACCACACCACACTGGCTCTCTCGTTGTTACATGACGCACATCAAGCAGCTCTTCCATCTTACCAGTCCTCTCCTCAGGATTCCAACCTCACAAAGCAATCCTGAATCATTGCTGAAAGATTACAAGTAAATGGGTGTACCATGCAGCTTGGCCTCAGAAGTCCTTCCCTCATACCAGACACAATAATGCTGCCTTTGTTTTGTTCTTTTGAACTATGGTGCTGGAGAAGACTCTTGAGAGTCCCTTGGACTGCAAGAAGATCAAATCAGTCAATCCTAAAAGAAATCAACCCTGACTGTTCCCTGGAAGGCCAGATAATGAAACTGAAGCTCAAATACTTTGGCCACCAAATGAGAAGGGAGCACTCACTGGAGAAGACCCTGATGCTGGGAAAGATTGAAGGTCAAAGAAGAAGGGGACAGCAAAGGATGAGATGGTCAAATCACTCACAGCTTTAATGTCAGTAGCTCACAAAATAGAATTTTTGCTCACAAGACTCTGCAGCTTAGAGGGAACATTGCTCGCCACCCAGGCTTACCACTGAACTGCCTCCTGCCGTGAACGAAGCCTGCAGCCCCGCGACCAACCCGCCGTGTGTTCTCAATCCTGCAGGGTGCTGATCGCAGCGACTTACAAACGGGACCCCCAGAGCATCTTCTCCCTTCTCAACGAGACCGAGGCGGTGGACCTGCTGACCAGCCAGTACCTGCTGGGCCTGGGGGAGGATGGGCAGGGCGACACGTCTGCCCGCATGATCGACCGCTACATCCAGGCTGCCGGGGAGAAGTGGCCCAGCTGGAGCGTGAGTCGCAGGCCTGGGGGGGGGGTCCAAGTGTGGTGGGATGGGATTCGATCCCCGCCTCCCTCGTCACAGAAGAGCAGCAGCTGCCTGTTTCTGACTCTGCCCTCCGCGCAGCAGATGGGGAGGGGGAGGAGCTGCCGCCACTGCCTGCCTCCTCCATCCTCCCTGCTGCCCAGGTGTGTGTGTGTGGGGGTGGTGGTGGCAAGTAGCAGAGGGCCCTTCAGCGCTGCCTGAGGCTGCCGGCCCGGACAGAAATCTCGATCTGCTTGCCTGTCCCTTGCCTTTTCACCTGTTTGTTTTTAACTCTGTGGCTGTCGTTTTGCAGGTGGGAAGAGCTGGGCTTGTGGGGGAACAGCTTCTCCGCCTCTACCACATGCTGGTCTACACCCTGCCGGGGACCCCCTTCACTGACTTTGGCGATGAGATCGGGCTGCGGGACTTGCCGGGACAGGTAAGCAGGATGATGAGAGAAGGGCTTGGGGGTGGCCACGCTGAGGTGCAGGAAGGTGGCGAGGGGCCGTTTTGCTTTGGCCTGGCGTACCTGAACCGCCCACCTATTTCTTTCTGCTGAAGCCATGAGGAGCGCAAACGTGCCGTTCTGAAATGAAAGCTGCGATTCTCGGCATGCCACGTTCTGCGCGGAGAAAAGGCACAAAAGCCCCGTTTCGTTCTTTGAATGCAGAGGCTTGGCCCTGGAGAAGGATTGCTGTGTTTAAGTATTTGAAAGGCTGTCCCTTAGAGGAGGGCTGTTCCTGGTGGCAGCAGAGGACAGGAGTCGTAATAAAGGGTTGAAATTAAGGGTGGCTTGGGGGTGGCCACGCTGAGGTGCAGGAAGGTGGCGAGGGGTCGTTTTGCTTTGGCCTGGCGTTCCTGAACCTCCCACCTATTTCTTTCTGCCGAAGCCATGAGGAGCGCAAACGTGCCATTCTGAAATGAAAGCTGCGATTCTCGGCATGCCACGTTCTGCGCGGAGAAAAGGCACAAAAGCCCCGTTTCGTTCTTTGAATGCAGAGGCTTGGCCCTGGAGAAGGATTGCTGTGTTTAAGTAGAGGAGGGCTGTTCCTGGTGGCAGCAGAGGACAGGAGTCGTAATAAAGGGTTGAAATTAAGGGTGGGGAGGTACCCGCTGGATCTTGGGGGAAACCTTACTGTAAAAAGAGTTGTGCAACAGTGGGATCAGCTGCCTAGGAAGAAGGTGAGCTCCCCCTCCCTGGCAGTCTTTAAGCAGCAGCTGGACAAACACTTGTCAGGGGTGCTCTAGGCTGATCCTGCATTGAGCAGGGGGTTGGACTAGATGGCCTGTATGGCCCCTTCCAACTCTGTGATTCTTTGATTCTGTGATGTGTAGCAAGAGTGCCTCTGACCATGTGCAGGGCATATGTTCAAGTAGCCACAGCTGGCGGTAACCCTGCCTGGTGTTTGGGGGATGCTTGCTTCTAGGCCAGAAAGCACAGCTGGCTTCCAGACAGGGTCTGAGCTTCCACCACCAGCCAATCCAGAGATGTGCATCATTGGGCACCCACTTAAGAAAGACTTTAAAAATTATATTTAAAAAAAAATGTATACCATTTCTTCTTTTTTGTGTGCATGTGTTTCCCTCGCTCTAATGGTCAACCCAATATTACATCACTGTATGTCAGGCATATCCCCCTGCAGATTTAAACTGGAGGTTTTTATGCTGGACATAAAGGTAAAGGTTCCCTTGCTCGAAAGCCAGTCGAGTCCGACTCTAGGGTTGCGGTGCTCATCTCCGTTTCAAAGCCGAAGAGCCAGCGCTGTCCAAAGATGTTTCCGTGGTCATGTGGCCGGCATGACTAAACACCAAGGCGCACGGAACACTGTTACCTTCCCACCGAAGTGGTCCCTATTTATCTACTTGCAATTTCTTGCTTTCGAACTGCTAGGTTGGCAGGAGTTGGAACTAGAGATGGGAGCTCACTCCGTCATGCAGCAGCTCGGGTCTCAAACTGCTGAACTACTGACCTTCCACAGCCTGCAGTTCAGCATCTTAACCACTTGAGCCACCGCAGCTCCACTGTATGGGGGACATACAGTGATATAATATTGAATCGACCACTAGAGGGAGCAAAACACATGTGGAAAAGGGGGAAAAAACCTCAAAAGCAATTAGAACATACAATTGAGGGAAATGAGAAGGCAGAAGAGCCCTTTGTCAGGAGGTTCCAGGGCTCACCCCACCAGCTCCTGAATTCGGGCAGCATAGACAGTGCAAAACTGCAAGCCATTGTGCCTGTTGCAAACTTTAATAACTGGAGTACCGGCTGCTGCTAGGAAACGTTGTGTCAGTGGGCTCTTGGTAGCTCCTTGTGTGGGGGCAGGAGGGGAGAGCACCAGAGGGGCACTGTCTCTTGGTTGCATCATTTTCCAGACATGACCAAAGAGCCCTACATCTTCCCTTCTTCCCTCCCCTCCTCCCCACTTTCTTACAAAAATGTAAAATTTCAGCGGTTTTTGCAAGAAATCATGGGATGGGATGAGATCTGAGTAGCAAACTGATCAAATGTTACTTAATCTGTATCTTAGATTTTGGTCTGGGGTGTGTGACTTTTCTTACTATGGTGTGCTACTTTGAGGTGTGGGGGGATTCGCTTGTTCTGGGACTTTATTTGTGCTCGCTCATCACGTGCTACAGTAACAGGCAGTTTCTTCTTTCCAGCCCGCAGAGTCCACGGTTGTTCGCATGCGGTGGGACAATACCATAAACTTTGGGTTCTCCAAAGATCCGCAACTGAGTGGCGTAGAACAACAACAGAGTGCTGCAGAGAGCAATGTCACCGTGCAGGTGAGCTGGAGCGATGAGTGGGGGGGGGGCAGGGGAGATGATTGTGCTGTTAAGATTAGAGGGGGAGGCAGACGAGAGGTTAAAATGGCTTGGGCTGGGAACCGCCTTTGTGAAGAAAGAAGTGTGTGTGTGCAAAGAGCAATCCCAGAAGCCCCCCAAAAACTCTTACCCTCAAAGGAGGCTGACCAATATTTGGAAGACTGGGTTAAAATTCCCACCCTGCCATGAAATGCACTAGGTAATCTTGGACTCGTCCCTTTCTCTCGGCCGAATTCATCTCCCAGGGTTGTTGGGAAGATAAAATAGAGGAAGGAGAACCATGTATGCTGCCTTGAGCTCCTCTACAGAAGGCTGGGATTAAAATGAGCCACATGGGTTGGGAGGCTGCCTGTTGCATCTCTGAATGAGTAACTGCTCAAGGTGAGGCTCTTGCCAGTTGAAAAAATTACACCGGGAAATAGTGGTCCTGTGCCAAAATGCAAGCAGCGGACACTTCTTTTACGTGAAGGAGAGGCTGGGCTGTAGCGGCCTGCCGGATTTATTAGACGAAGAGATACCTGAAAGGAGAAGACGTGATAAGAGCTCTCTGCACCTCAGAGTTAGCATGTGGAATCCAACCAGAGATGTGTTTTGTCTAGACATCTGCCAGCCAAGGGTCCCTGGGAATCTTGCAAGCAGGGCGTGACGTATTAGCAAAGGTCATTCTTGGGGAGTCTTGCCTGCCTGCTCTTGGAGAGCCATTTTTTGCTTTTGCCCGGCATTGGGTTCTGCTCTGGTGGAATATTCTAGAAATAGCTATTTACCTGAATGGCTTTTTCTCCCTCCCCTTCCTCTTGCTTATTTCTCTGTCCACAGTCACAGAGCGGGGATGAATCTTCCATCTTGAAGCTCTTCCGGGACTTGAGTGAGCTGCGTGGGAAAGAGCGCTCCCTTCTCCATGGCGATTTCTGGCCGGCTGGCTCCTCAGCGCCAAGTGTCTTTGCTTACCTACGTGTGTGGGATCAGAACAGGCGCTACCTGGTGGTGCTCAATTTCGATCCCAAACCCACCACGGTCTCCCTCACACACCATCTGCTGCCCTCAGAGGCCACGGCGGAGCTCAGCACCCTCCCGCATCGGGAGCTGAAACAGCAGCTCAGCTTGGCAGAGCTCAGTTTGCATCCTTCGGAAGGGTTGTTACTCAGTTTCCCTTATGTGGCCTAGTTTGACGTCAGACTCCTCCTTTTTCTGAGGGAGGGGAGCAGAAGAGGGTTCAAGCTTATTATCCCTAGAGGGGCAGTCTTGAGACCTTAGAAGGATACAGCTTCAGCAACAGTCTGTCTGAACTTAACTGTCTTTTCTCTCCCCCCGCCCATTTGTTTTGTACATTCCTCGAATGGCTAATATGTGAGGGGGGGGGGATGCTCTCTTAACATAATGTGTCATTCTGAAATAATACTACTGCTGATGTGTGCCTGTGTGTGTGATTGAGAGAGAGAGAGAGAGAGAGAGGGTGTTCAGGAGGTCAGTGGAGACCATCTGGGGATCAATTCCTTGGTGATTTTTTGTGTGTATCACATGTCCCTGACCCGGGGAGGAGTGATGATAGCAGCTTGGTGTTTATTCGGTTCACGAGCTCCTCTCCCCTTTAAGGTCTGTGTACTTTATGGAATAGTCTTCTGTCTGTGTGTGTGTGTGTGTACCCTTTTCCCAAAAGTGTTGGAGGGTGACATGGAGTAAATTAATAAACTTTTAACTCTGCATTTCTGGTTTCTGGTTGTCTTTTTTCTAAACTGAGACAATTTAGGCCTTCTCCTGGCTTCGTACTTCCCCCGTTTTGATCCTGGGGCTGCCTCCTTAGCATCTCCTAAATAGGAGATAGAAGGATACTTTTAAGTCTAGAAAGAAGTGTTATTTGGAGAGTGATGGAGGAGACCTGCCTCTAAGGAAGGCTGAACTGTTTTCTGGCCTGATACCAGATCTGTGTGTATTCTATGATCCTGCTGCACCAGTGTGGAATTTGGGACGAAGCAAAGAATTGGCGCAGCCTTGAGAATCTGGGTTCTTTTAACAAATGGAGGGATGCCAGCTGTGCTAGGACAGAAAGTTTCTGCATATTAAAAGGAGAAAAGCCCCACTGGGACTTGCTGCACTACCTAAAGAGTGTGGTGGGCTTGGTACCCTGCCTCATTCCTTGCTAGGGTTGCCAACCTCCAGGTGGGGGCTGGAGAGCTAGAATTGCAGCTTACCTCCAGCTGACACAGATTAGGTTCTTGGGAGAAAATGGCTGCTTTGGGGGGTTGGATTCTATGGCATTATAACCTGCTGAGGGGCCCTCCCTAGGGTGCACCCCCCTCAATCCCCAGGAATTTCCCCAACCAAGAGTTGCTAACCCTGTGTTGCCCTCTTGGTTGATGATGGGGCCAAGGAATAGAAAATCTTGAACAATTCCAATTGCTTCATTGTTAACCTTTAAAAGTTGTGTAATTCCCCAGCAGTCATTACTTTTGTCTTCTTGATGTTCAGCTGTAATCCTGATTTGGCTCTCCTGATTGGCCCTTTCTGCTTTAACCCTTCATCAGTAGCTGTTTCAAGTGCTACTTTCTGCCAGTAATGTGGTGTGATCTGCATATCTCATTGCTAATGTTCCTTCCACCAGTTTTCCCCCCACCTATATCTAGTCCTGCTTTCTTTATGATACATTCTGCATATAGATTGAAGAGACAGGAGATAGCATACATCCTTGTCTGACACTTTTTGCCAAACCTTTCCCCCCATATTCTGTCTCATATTTATACTCTGGACATTAAAACTATTTATTTATTTATGCGATTTCTACCCCGCTTTCCCCGCAAGGGCTCAGGGCGTGAAAACAATCAGATGTTAGTGGCACACCCATTTCTTTTAAAACCCGCCATAGTTTTTCATGATCCACAGAGTCAAAAACTATAATGTAATCTATGAAACACAAGCTGATTACCCTTCTTGGTTATGTTTCAGTAACTAGTGTAAATTTGTAATATGATCTCTAGTGCCTCTTCCTTTTCTGCATCCAGTTTGAACATCTGCATTTCTCATCCCATGTATGGTAAAAGTCTTTGTTGCACGATTTTGAGCTTCACTTTACAAGTGTGAGAAATCATTGCAATGGTCTAAAAATTGCTGCAGTGTTTGAGGTCCCCCCCCCCTTTTTAAATTGGAATGTAGATTGAGTGTTTTCAGTCTGTGGGCCATTGTTTTGTTTTCCACATTGGCATATTCTTGTTAAGATTTTGATGGACTTCATTTCTGTGACTTGGAATAAATCTATTGATATCCCATCTACTCCTGGTGATTTATTCCTCTCAATTGTTCCTAAATACATTGTCCTATTTAGGACTATTTACATAGCAGCCAGACCTGAGTACTTCTGAGGTTTGGGGTATCTTGCTACCAACAGATGCTGCTTTATTTTTTTAAGGTCATGGTGAGTACACCCTACGAACAGCCATTTCCCATGCAATCTTAAACAAGTTTTGACTCAGAAGTAAGTCCTTTATCCAGGAGGGCTTCCTACTATTTTAGGGTATAGGATTGCAGACATAATAGTACATTGTTTCAATTCTAGCACAGCTGGCTTGTTAAGGGTGCTTTCACACATGCTAAACAATGCAATTCTGTGTGCGATTCTGGTCACCACACCTTAAAAAGGATATTATAGCTTTGGAAAAAGTGCAGAAAAGAGCAACTCGAATGATAAAAGGGTTGGAACACTTTCCCTATGAGGAAAGGTTAAGGCGCTTAGGGCTCTTTAGCTTGGAGAAACGACGACTGAGGGGTGACATGATTGAGGTTTATAAGATTATGCATGGGAAAGAGCAGGTAGAGAAAGAGGTACTTTTCTCCCTTTCTCACAATACAAGAACCCGTGGGCACTCCATGAAATTGCTGAGCGGTCGGGTTAGAACGGATAAAAGGAAGTACTTCTTCACCCAAAGAGTGATTAACACTTGGAATTCACTGCCACAGGAAGTGGTGGCGGCTACAAGCATGGACGGCTTCAAAAGGGAATTAGATAAGCATATGGAGCAGAGGTCCATCCGTGGCTATTAGCCACAAGGTATAGATAGGGACTCTGGGGCAAGTGATGCTCTGTCATCTTGGTGCTTGGGGGGGG